GGAGTGGAAGTCGGCAGAAATGGAAGTCAATGACCAAAACTAGGTGAGAGGCTATGAGACAATCGAAGTAAGTTATTCCAACCACTTAAAGTACTCATCAAATTTAAAGAGATGTAGCCAGGAAACGAACATAATCTCGAAAGTTGGAAGTGATAACCCAAATTAAAGAAGGGGGTCATGTGTTTTCTAAACATCCATGGACGAGCAGCAACTGAAGGTAGGAAAATTTTCAAGATGTGATGCCTTTTTTCCCATGTTTGATGATAACCATTTGACGAAGGAGGTGACTCTTGAGGACTCAAAATCACTAAATCAATTCATCAATGACATGTGTGGCTACTCATCTGAAGACGCTATAGCTGATGTTGACCTCAACATCTAGGGTGATTCGAATGTCATAATCGCATATAGCTTTCACACCTTTGCCTCCAACTGAAGCACATAGGTTCAAGATGACAGGGTAAGATTTCAAATAGTGGTGACACCAAGTGGTGACTCAGTGACAAGTCAATATCTTGACGCAACACGCTACGTTATCAAGCCCTCTAGTGCTTTATCCCTAGGAGTTAATATCCAAGCCTCAGAGCACCAAAACATCATCATAGTTGAACATCATCATTAACAAAGCATATAGAGTTGATGGATGGCCACATGAGAGACCTGCTCCGGGAACCGTTGTCCCAATTTCCCAATCAAAACATCAATAATAAATGCATCCTACTTTATTGACCTTCCAATGAAAGATCCGAACCGACAACCCGACCCATATATTAAAAAATGAGCTTTTGGGCAGGAAAAGTGGCTGCAATTCCACTTTGGTTTGTATATAGTAAGATTCTCCTTTCTTTTTTTGTTTATTCTCATTTTTTTGTTTTTTTTTGTTTGTTCTCCTTTTTTTAGCAACCTTCAACTTTAATGTTATATTCACTTATTATGAAAATTTATAATATAAATTATTATTAAATGTTTCAGTTTATTTTTTTTCTCCAATCAAACTTCTTGCTTAATTTTTTTTATTTATCTATTATAAAATATTTTAGTTATTAATGTTTTATTTCTCAACTATTAATTTAAGATGAATATTTATTAGTTTATTAAATAGTGTGTGTTAATTACAAACGTGAATTTTGTGTTATACTAAAATGAGTATGGTGTAAAATAAGTTCCGTCTGGCATTTGCTTGATCTGAAGCCTGAGAAAGAAGCTCAACTCTCCCATCATACTCATTTCAAACTTGGTGCGCATCAGATTGTTGAACTTTTGACAGAAATTTGGATTTGACGAGGCAAAAATGATGTCGTCCACCTAATCTGTATCAGCATGATGTCACCCTTGTATCACTTGATAAAGAGAGTTGGGTGAATCTTTCCTTTCGAGAAGCCTGATTCCACAAGAAAATCTGATAGTGCTTCGTACCAGGCCCTCAGCGCCTGTTTCAGTCCATACAGGGCTTTTCTCAGCTTATATACATGATTTGGGCGTTCAGGATCCACAAAGCCTTCTGGTTGTGCAACAAAAACTTCTTCTTTCATCTCACTATTGAGAAACGCAGTCTTGACGTCCATTTGATATACTGTGAAGCTTTTGTGTGCGGCGTATGCAAGGAACAATCTTATGGCCTCAATTCTTGCCACTGGTTCAAAGGCCTCGTCATAGTCAATCCCTTCTTGTTGGTTGTACCCCTTTGACACCAGGCGGGCCTTGTTCCTAATTATCACACTGTCTTCATCTTTCTTGTTTTTGAATACCCATTTGGTGCCGGTAATGGTTTTTCTGTACGGCCACGCCACCGGGGTCCACACCTTCAATCTTTCAAACTGGTTCATCTCTTCTTGCATCGCAACAATCCAGCCTGGATCAGCCAATGCTTTAGTCATCTTTGTAGGTTCTTTCTGACTCAAAAAACATGAGTACAAGCATTCATAATTGACTGATGCGGCTCTGATACCAAGTGTTGGTCCCTGTTATCACTATATTATATCTATATAATGATGTATGAAGATGGAGCTCTAGATGATATAGTGGAAGCTTTCCATTGAAGAAGGTTTTTTTATAGAATGATAGGAGAAACTTAGCGTACAAAACCTTCTACGTAAAATGAGCACTACGGCTGAATAACTGGAAAGCTCTCTTACGCTAACTTTTTCTTTTTCAGGTTTATCTTTTGCTTATAGTACTCAACATCCTTTCTTCTCTTTGGCATCCTACAATCCTTGATTAGATGTCCCATTTTCCCGCAGTTGAAGCATTTGGGAGCATCCTCGGCATTTGCACTCTCATTTGATTCAAAAGGATGTTCCTTTCTTTTTGTGTCGGTAGAGGATTTTCGGAGTTTATTAGAGGATGTGTTCTTTTTTAGCATCTTGTTGTTAAACCTTGAAGTAAGAAGTGCTAACTGCTTTTGAAACTCAAGCAGTTCATCATCATTATCAGTTTCATCCCAGAAACCGATGTCACTATCAGCACTTTCACTTTCTTCAGCTTTCATTTTATCCTTCTTGGAGCCAGATTTGGAAGGTTTGTCAAGCATCAGCGCAAGAGTATGAGCTAATTTGTCAACAGCATCCTTGCCTTTTTCAGCCATCACAGTTATGTGAACATAGTCAGAAAAATCATGAGCATATTGGTCAAGTGTTGTATATGACATGGATGTCCATATCATCAAGGTCTTTTGTATGCCTGATCTGAGAGCATAGTCTCCTCTAATCTGGTCCAAGTGCCGACAGACACCCCACATTCAGCTCCATGTTTGATTTGTGAACTCTAATCTTTCTCATTTCATTGATTGGTTGTAGGAACCTAAGATAGATGTCTTCGAGAGATTCTCCCAGCTTTGCTTTGAATGAGTCATATGCTGTGAATGTGCTTGCTTTCTTTGCTTTGACTCCTATTTCAGTTCCTTGCATAATTTTGAAGATTTCATCCTGCATCTCTTTTGCAGTTGACATGCTATCAATTTGCATGTAGATGTCATTCGGGATAGCTTGGAGCAGGTAGGTCTTTGCGAGTAAGTCAGCACGGATTCTTGCTCGGTCCTCATCATCGTATTCATCAACAGTTTTTGGTCGTAGTTCAACTTCAAGAGGTGGATTGTTCTCATCATTTCTATGAGTCAAGCAATGCAGAAGATTGGTCTTTGCTTCGAGAAAGTTAAAGAACCTGTTTTTCCATACATTGCACTCTCGTCTTCTTAGAATTGGGGTCTAGTGTCATTTTCAATGGAAAGAGCATCCATCTTTTGGATCGGTCTAATCTATTGATTGTGTAGGGTCTGTTTTAGTTTGTACAATCCTTCAAACAGAAGGTTCATATAATGGTGGCCTTAGCTGTTTGGGAATGTCGCACAGAGAATAGCGCACGAATGGTTAAAATGGCGCACGGAGCTTCTGAGAATGGCGCACGGAACTTCCGTGCACGAAGATGGCGCACGAAGCTTCTGAGAATGGCGCACGGAACTATTCGAATGGCGCACGGAACTATTCGAATGGCGCATGAAGCTTCTGAGAATGGCGCACGGAACTATTTGAATGGCGCACGAAGCTTCTGAGAATAGCGCATGACAACTTTGGCGCAGAGCACTTTAGCGCAAAACACTTTGGCGCAGGGATGAAAGGGAAAAATGAAAAATTAAATTCAGTGAAGGCTTAAATAGGGAGCCTACACTACGTACGCCGCAAGGCTTCATGAGGCTTCTACGAAAAAACCAGGCAGTAGACAGAACCTACAGCAATGCTTCAAGGCCGCTGGCGTCAGCTAAAGGAAAGGTCGGCCTCGTCATCTCCTAGCTAGTATGTTTAGTGTTAGGAATTCTGAAGAGCCAAGTACAGATAGGTCAAAGGGACGTATATGAATTATTCTATTGTGCAGGGTTCAAATGTAAAAAAATTAAATTTGTAAACGAAATTGCTGATATGGAATGGCCTCCACTGATATTCAGCCACGTGCCGAATGCACCACAACATTCTACAAAGGGAATGCACAGTAAAGCTCGCTGCACGCAAATTATCGGGTTTTGCTGACATGGCTCGTCCAGCCGGATGACAAGGCCAAAAACTACCCTTTTTGGGAAAAAAACTCGAGGAATCGGCTGCACGCTTGCAACCTCGCTGCTTGGCTGTGCTTGACTCGGTGTCTTCGTGTCTCGCCACCTTAATGCCGATTTCCTCTTCGTTCACTTCCTCAGCGATGGGTGCACAGTAGTGAAAAGTAGGAAAGTCTTGGGTTTTCTCCTAGGATTTTTTCCGCAAGCAGTCTTTAGCTTGCTGGCATTCTAATCGCTACTTAATATGCCTTTTTTGTTGTTTTCTTTGATGAGTATATTGAAATGGAACCACATGGGGTTGGGTAACTCGACCACGACACAGGGACTGTCGAATATCGCTTATTCGCATCGCCCCTGATGGAGATGAAGTTTCGATTCCAACAGGTAAAGTAGATACTCCGACCACCGGGCTCAATGTTACTACTATTATAATAATAATAATAATTCCTAAAAAGCATAAGGTAAAAAATACGGGAGAGACCTATTGCTTTGAGGATCAAGAAGGAATAAATAGACAAAACCAAGCATACACGCTGCACTTGCTATCATTTAAATTTTTAGTAGCTTGGATCCAACAAGCTAAACTTACCATTCACTTATCAATAGAAATCATGAATTTTAATCAAACAAGCCAAAAATTAGCTTTCCCACACAAGGCCAATATTATTGATTAAGAAAAATAAATGGATTGTTTCATTTAATTTTAATACTACATACTACCTCCGTTCTTAAATAAGTGCAACATGTGAAATTTTACACTACTCACATGTTCTATTTTGATTAGATTTTATTTATTGATGTATTAATATATTTTTTGAAAAATATAATATTAAATTTGTCTCATTGTAAATTTTCAAAAAAAAATAATTTTTTTAAATTTTTTACTAATAGAAAATTATATATATTAATGATCAAAATTGTATATTTGTATTAAGTAATAAGGTAAAAGAAATCTCAAGGATTAATACCCACATTAACCTTTGTTTTATTAATATTCAACAAATGAGGATACGATACATACGGAGTATTAGATTAATTGAGAAAATTGACTCAAACATAAAATGGCATACACTCAAAAGAAAGCAGAGGATAGGCTGAACTTCTCATAGCAGAGGTCTAGCCAGATATCTCAATGGATTTGATCTCCGCCTTCTTCACTTCCTCTTTGGGAACAGTTACTGTGAGCACACCATTCTCCATTGAAGCCTTAACCTGATCCACCTTGGCATTCTCCGGCAACCGGAACCTGCGAAGGAATTTGCCGCTGCTCCGCTCCACGCGGTGCCACTGGTCATTCTTTTCCTCCTGCTCCCTGCTTCTTTCCCCACTGATCTGCAGCACCTTACCTTCCTCCACCTCCACCTTCACCTCCTCCTTTTTCAGCCCGGGTAGATCCGCCTTGAACACGTGAGCCTCCGGCGTCTCTTTCCAGTCGATCTGCGCGTTCGCAAACGCCGACGTTTCGCGAGAAGAGCCGACGGCGTTGGAAAACGGGAAGCCTTGGAAAGGATCCCAAATATCTAGAGAGAACGGGTCGGAAACGTGGCTCCGGCGACCTCCGAAGATGCTTGGAATCAGAGACATAATTGACTCAAATCTGAATTTGTATTTCTGTTAAGATTGATTTGTAGTACGAGTTTGATGATCAATTTAGCTGAATTCACTTCGATGATCAACGACAGGAGCAGGAACGCGTTTATATACGAGAGAGCCGATGGAGCCAGAACTTTCAAGTAGCTTCCATAGAGCCGTTCTCAAATCTTCCATTGTTATTTTCCCCTTCATCCACATGGTTCTACAACGTTCTAGATTCATTTAATTAATTCGGGCCGAAAGATTAAAAGCTGTTGGAGGTATGTTTAAGAAATCGGACCTGCGTGACCGGGTCACGGATCAATCCGGACCCGATCGGATCAACTCTGTCAATGTTATAAAATCGATCAATCATTTAACATTGATAAACATATATAATTATATACGAGTACAAAATTAAAATAAAATGTAATTATTTCATAATAACCAACTAATAATAGTAATTACTAAACACTTAAAAGTTAAAATAGTCTCATGATATTTTAAAATACCATTTTGATCTTATATATAATGATACTCCATATTTTTTTATTGGACATTTATTATATAGTTTGACATGATTTTTATTCTTAAATATATAAATATATTGCATATTTGTTTCTTTTTAGAGTATTGAAAATTGCAATTTTATTGGTCAAAAAAGCTTTATTTTTTTTTTAAAAATGGAAAAACAACCAAAATTGGGGTTTTCTGGCTTAATCGGGTTTTATTGCTCCTGGTTTGGACCGGGTTTTGTCAGGTCGGCTGGATTTTTTCGATTTTTGACCATTTTCGGGTTTTTAATTAACCGAACCGGGTTTTGATCCAAATCGCCGCGTTCCAGGTCGATCCGATCGGGTCGGGTCGGTTTTTTAAACATAGGGTGGACGGGCTCGAATGGTGCAAATTATGTTGTACTGTTATATATCATCATGATGTAATTTTACATCAAATTATTTTTGTAATTTTCTATTCCTTAAGTATGTGTTTTGTTCTTGAAATAAAGTGATTCTTATTTTTTGTCTACATTTGGATATTTTGAGAATATTTCAAATAATAAATTTCAAAATCTTTTGGTGGGAGTTCTTTTTGAAAGGAAAACCGATTATATTAATATCATTACGATTTGAATCGTTATAACAAACTCAAAGGAACCAACACTAACACAATTATCTGTAACCTACTAGCACTATCAACACTTCGGCTAGACTCAGAGATGACCATCCCTGAAAGAACAATACAAATCACTAACCACTAAATGAGTGTGATACAACAATCACCGGCCATATAGATCATTCTAACGATTTAATATCTAGCAGAAATTCCAATCATTATTGTAGACCTAAAATTAAAGACATCAACAAAAAACAGAGGAACGAAAAACATAATGCGAAAATAAGACTATAAAAAATAAAATAACTGATAAAACTTTCAAACCCTAACTCCTCGATCGCTCCAAGATGGCGATTAAGAAGGGGGACGGACCGCCGATCTGTCTTCTTTCTTGCTCAGCCCTTCACCTCTCCTCGCCGGCTCATTGCCCGTGCCGCCTCCACAACCTTCACCGCCCTCCACCCATGTTGATCCGCCAAGAACTATCCTTTCGACCTCCTCCTCAATTGATGGAATAGGACAAAGCTGCTCTAGATCATCCATAAAAGTCATGATTATCCTTTCTTGACCCTGCACTCGTTCAAAATGTCAAAGAAAAACTGATTCGCAGAAGTGGACATTGCACCACTCTCGACACGCTAGAGAAAAACCTAACTCTCGACAAGCAAGAGAAAAACCTAGCTCTCGACAAGCAAGACAAACCTACATGAGTCTCTATCTAACAATGGACGAGGGTTTTGGGAAACCTAACACATTGGGAGCTTCTCTCTCTTGATAGCTGGTGAGAGTTTTTTTGGAATGCAAATGTCCTTTTTATCTCTCTATTTTTTGATAACATGTTAAGATACATAAATGGCCAAAAAATAGTTACATAACAACGGGGCATACCCCTTGAGTCTGAAGCAACACATGACATTGCTTAGTAAGAAGTAAGGCTAACCCCATGCACGAGCCTTAAAAAACATTTCCAAGATAAAAAATCAATCATATTAGTGGGTACATTCTCAAAAAAACTCGCAAACCAGCAATTTTATTTACAAGACTAGGCCTTGTACCGCACAAATGAGTGTCCATATGAAATAGATGTACAAGATAATTGTGGTGAGTGAATTTATGTCATTGAACTCCACACAAATGATTAATTAAATGTTCATTAGTTCACAAATGATTAATTTAATGTTTATAAGTTTCAATATCAACTAAGAATGTTTTCTTTTGAACTGTTTTCAGTCCCAGACCAGACCGGATTAGACCAGATCAGACTTTAACAGACCAGACCAAACCAGACGAGATTTTAAAGAACTAGACCGGACTTGGACAATTATAAAATACATAGAGATCAGACATTTACCACACCAGACCAGACCAGATCAAACCCGACTTAAAAAGACCAGACCAGATCAGATCACACCAGACCTGACGAGCAAATTTCAGTCCAAAAGAAAACATCCTAAATCATTATGACATTAATATAAATGAATTCATTGCATTATCATTTTTATGGGAAAACCTTTTTCTATTTGAACAGTATTCATTTGTTATTGATTTTAGCACTTCGGATCAATTACACTTTTAGAGATTATAATTATGTTAAAAGTTGTCACCATATTGACTACATGTAGTAATTATGGTGTAAAACTTAAAGAGAGAATATCATTAATATTACCTATCGGTTTGTGATAAACAAATATAAGACCATTTTTTAATTTTGGACAAAAAAGAGACATATTCCGATTGAAAGGACTAAAATGACTCTCTATAAATTTCAAACTTAACCCTAGTCTGATTTCACGTTACCGTAGGCATCTCCTTCAATTGTCTCATAGCCGCTCACCCAATTTCGGCCATCGACATCAATCGCTGCCAACCCCCACTCCATTTACCTATCGTCATTGTTCGACAATCCTTTTGGCTTCATTGCCATTTGTCACTTTGATTTCCACTGTGTATAACATGTGTTGTCTTAAGATAACACTGTATATTGACATTTGCCATTAGCTAGGGAGCTTGTTTTATATCTCACTTTGGAAATAATTACTCCGTCAAAAAAACTTTGATTTCCACTGTCGTGTCGCAGACTCATCCTCAACCAACGTCGCATTTCTTGTCTCCTTCATCCAGGTGCACCTTCGCCATGTCCAGGAGTGTCACCTCCAAGTTAATCGTCTTTTTTTATTCTTCCCCTCTTTCTTCATCTGGTTCATCTATCATCGATTTGGTCTGATATGCAGCGGCGGTGTTTTTATTTGATAGTGACCTAATCCACCCCAGTGACATAATCCACACTAGGGACCTCACTCGTCCACAGTGATAGTGACCAATGATGCCTCAGTCACATTGAAAAATGCCCAAGTCACAATGACCAACACTCTAGTTACAGTGACCAACACCACGATCAGAGTGACTCCTACTTTGGTCACAATGACCAAACCCGGACATCACAGTGACCACCACCCGGCCACTGAGAACGTCGGAGGTCATAGTTACAGTTAAAAGATTCTCTGATGACTGGTAGTTACTTAGTGACTCTTGTCCCCCGTATAGACCTGGCACGAAAGTGACTTTTCCGCGCTTTCCCCAAACTGACACTGCCACCTCCGTCGGGCTCGACACCGTCTGCCGCCAGCTTTGTCATCCCACCATACCCTTCACTATTCACCATCCCCAAGTATTTTAACTCCTCCTCCCAAACCAATGCACATCCTATCCCACTTTAGTCAATGTCGTTTGTGTTTACCCATATGCAACAACACCTAGTCACCGCATGCTAGCCATCTCTACCGTTGGTCGCCACCGCAACCACATATCAAACCAAATCGATGATAGATGAACGAGAAGAAAAAAGAGGGGAAGAATAATCAAAAGAAGACGATTAACCTGGAGGCGAGAATGTTGGACATGGCGAAGGTGCGTCTGGATGAAGGAGCCAACAACTGCGGCGTTGGTTGAGGATTACGATTGCGACACGACAGTGGAAATCAAAGTGAAAAATGGCAATGAAGCCAAAAGGATTGTTGAACAATGACTATATGAAAACGGAGTGGAGGTCGGTAGAAATGGAAGTCAATGACCAAAACTGGGTGAGAGGCTATGAGACAATCGAAGTAAGTTGTTCCAACCACTTAAAGTTACTCATCAAATTTAAAGAGATGTATCCAGGAAACGAATATAATCTCGAAAGTTGGAAGTGATAACCCAAATTAAAGAAGGGGGTCATGTCTTTTCCAAACATCCATGGACGAGTAGCAACCGAAGGTAGGAAAATTTTCAAGATGTGATGCCTTTGTTCCCATGTTTGATGATAACCATTTGACGAAGGAGGTGACTCTTGAGGACTCAAAATCACTAAAGTAGTCCGTCAATGACCTGTGTGGCTACTCATCTGAAGACGTTATAGTTGATGTTGACCTCAACATCCAGGGTGATTCGAATGTCATAGCCGCATTTAGCTTTCACACCTTTGCCTCCAACTCAAGCACATAGGTTCAAGATGGCAGGGTAAGATTTTAAATAGTGGTGACTCCAAGTGGTGACTCGGTCACAAGTCGATATATTGACACAACACGCTACGTTATCAAGCCCTCTAGTGCTTTATCCCTAGGAGTTAATATCCAAGCCTCAAAGCACCAAAACATCATCATAGTTGAATAAAGAGCCGCAAGAGAGTTTGTGATGCACTGAGGATAACACACTATGATGATGTTTTGGTGCTCTGAGGTTGGGATATTAACACCTAGCGATAAAGCACTAGAGGGCTTGATAACATAGCGTGTTGCGTCAAGATATTGACCTGTCACTGAGTTCCCACTTGGATTCGCCACTATTTGATATCTTACCCTACCATCTTGAACCTTCGTTCTTGAGTTGGAGGCAAGGGTGTGAAACCTATATGCGGTTATGACATTTGAATCATCTTGGATGTTGAGGTCAACATCAGCTATAGCGTCTTCAAAGGAGTAGCCACACAGGTCATTGAAGGATTCATTTAGTGATTTTGAGTCCTCAAAAGTCACCTCCTTCGTCAAATGGTCATCATCATACATGGAAACAAAGGCATCACATCTTAAAAATTTTGCTACCTTTGGTTGCTGCTCGTCCATGG